ATCATTTTTGCCCACTGTCTTTCTATGGGGTAGTCATGAACACACCTTAACTGAGGCATTGCAGTTATTCAGGTGTTGTTTTGGGGTCTGTTGTGCCCTCTTGGATGAGTTCTCGCCGCACTCTTATGGTCATTTTGGTCAGCCGGCCACTCTTGGAAAGGTTTAACATGTAGCCTGCATGATGATCTTATTAGGGTGGTCAAATGTGTGTTTACATTATCTACTGATTTCATTATTGACATCATTATTTAAGATACTGAATGTTTCCACTATTTAACAATCAGACCCCTGCTGTAATCTGCTCCCTGCATGAACTCGCAGAAGTACAGCAGTGAATAAAACAAATAAAGCACTCAGCAGATTTCCACTGCTCTTGTAATGAGCTGGACTTTGCATAGCTGGACACATTTTATCTCACATATTTGCGTTTAGCGAGTGTGTTTTGCAGCTTGCAGATATATGGTAATTGGGTTGAGGGTGTTTAGTTGTGCGAGGCATAAATCAAGAAAGCTTCAGTGAAGGGAATCTTCAGAAAGACTGCACAGGATCAGTTTGGCTGGTTAATGAGTGTGGTAACCTTGTGTGAGGAACAGCTTCATCTATACTGATTGCACTGCAAACATGACCACAGTTTCAATGGGGAAAAATGCTACAGTAAAACATTGGTTCTGCGTGCGCAGATTCTTTGTGGGCCTAATAATGTGTAGATGTTCTTACTTCAAAACAGCAGTGCATAATACTATTATTATAAAGAAATACAGTCGTTTACTGTAACAAGTCGCAATTCACGGCATTACCATTAACTAACACTACTAGCTTAATAAACTACTAATTAGCTATTTATTAATATTTAGTAATGCGGCAGTTGGGTTTAGGTGTTGTGTAAGATTAGGGATGTAGAATAAGATCATCCTTCATTATGACATATATAGTTCATATCTTAATAATAGACAGGTAATGCGCCAGCAGATAATAGCATGAATTGTGACCTATGGTAGTCTCATCATTGTTTTTAATGGTAAAGCTCTGGCAATCACAGATGACTGTTATACTGTAATATAAAGTGTGCCACTGTAAAAACAAAACCGTTCAGTGTATGTTGTGATGCATGTTTTTATTTTTCCTCATGCATTTCTGCTTGTGAATGTCATTATGGGATCTTGATCTCTCCTTCAGCAGCTTTTAATCTTGAACAGTGTGTATAGTGTGTGTTCTGCTCATGTGTAACAGTCTGCAGTGCTGTATTGTCTGGCTTGGTGTTGTATATCAGGGGTTCCCAAACGTTTCAGCCCGTGACCCCTAAAATAACAATACCAGAGACTCACGATCTCCAGATTTCTCAGAGGCGTTTATAAATGTACAAATGTTGCGCACACCAATAGGCCAATATAAACACAAGCATACTGACAACACACAACGTGCAACAGTTGAAGAACCGTCTCACTTTTATAGTCATTTATTCATTTAATTTAACATTAACCTCAGCTAAAGAGACTGGTGGACACAGTGTTTTCAGCACAAGTCTATTACTGGTTTAATTTTGGAGATGTTTCATTTTTAATGTATTTAATTTGCCTTGCCAGAAAGTTTAAGCCGGTGCTGTAAAATCTGCTGCAGCTGACGCGAGTGCTGTGTGGACGATCTAATGTAAACACACTGATCCTGTGAAGATCATGTAAAGGCTGAGGGCTGATCTTTTGCATGTTGTTGTTTTTTACTATTAAAAGCTACTATTTGTATCTTCTGTAGGTTATGGTTAAAATATAATATAATATTAATAGTTTCATAAAATATATTTGATTTTGTAAATCACCAAGCGACCTCCTGACATTGTCCTGCAACCCCCACTTTGGGAATCATTGTTGTGTATTACTCTACAGTGAGCTTGTAATAAACTGCAGCACATGTTCTGCTATTCTACACTCTTATTCCTCTACATATGATCTCTTATATTATTTCACACCACTAAAATGTCAATAAAAGTCACTTTGTTAAACTGTAGAGTTGAATTATGAGCATCAGGAGTGGACAGAGCAGAGATCAACATCTCATAATGCAGTTCACCACCGCTAATAAACACGTAATATCCAGAAAGTGTTGATGAACAGATATTGTTTACAGTGTATGCAGTTTCCAGAGCTGCAGAATTCAGATTAGCAGGAGTGTAGGAGGAGAGCGCGGGAGAAAGAGACTCTGTGTTGTTTGAAGTCTGACCTGAGCCTGAAACTCACACTGTTTCCATCAGAATCCTGCTGAATATTATCACACTAATCCCTAATTACCAATCCCTCTCACCACGGGGATTACACACACACACACACACACACACACACACACACACAGGAATAATTCATACTCTAGCCCTTCATAAGCCTCTGGGAAAGGTCTGAGGACACAGGAGGTCGGAGATGATCTGCTAGAATTACAATTCACAACAGAGAAACACAGAAACACACACCTGGAAATCACACTATTAGTGTTTTCAGATTTTGTAATACTCTCTACATGAGTATACGATAACCCTTTAGGTCACAATTGATGGTATTAACCTTTAACACTACCTGCTCAATAAACCACTCATCCTCTGATTATTACCAGGGTTTAGGTGTTGCGTATGATCAGGGGTGCAGAATGAGATCAAACTTCATAACTACTAATGAACAGTTCATTCCGTAATAGGCAGGGTGTTAAATAGCAGGAATATATCATTACACTGATATAAACATACTGAAGGAAATAATACTTCATTCCAATAATATGAAGAGTCAACAGGTAAACTGCAGAGACTGACAGAAGCATGAAGCACACACACTAACACACACACCTGAGCAGCACTCACAACACACACACACTGCTGTTTCACATCTGTCTGTAGCTCCGCCCTCTTCTGAAAAGAGCACAATCTCATTTGCATTTAAAGCGACAGACACCAAAACTCCACACACACACACACACACACACACACACACACACACACACACACACACACACATTGCTTGTATAAAGGAGCAGAATAGGTCTCCTGTAAAGCGTGCTGTCTGCAGATGTCGAGTCTGCTGGTCATTCATCACCGTGAGATTTTATTCTGCTGACCTGTTTGTAGTTTCCCTTTGCTGGTTTCTCCTGTCTCCTCAGCATTTAATGAACTTCATTAGCTTTCCTGCCGTCATCTTAATTCTTCCTTCTGTTTTTCATCCACAGACGGCTCAGATAAACTCCATGCTGTGCTCTGTCACAGGATTGAAGGTTTCGTTTCTATGTTTGAGTAAAATATATATAGTTCATAAAAAATGACCATTAGTTAATTCATTTTCCTTCAGCTTAGTTCATTCATCAGGGGTCGCCACAGTGGAGTGAACCACCCACTATTCCAGCATATGTTTTACACTACAACCCAGTACTGGGAAACACCCATACACACTCATTCACACACACACACACTCATACACTACGGCCAGTGTAGTTGATCAGTTCCCCTATAGCGCATGTGTTTGGACTGTAACCGGAGCACCCGGAGGAAACCCACGCCAACACGGGGAGAACATCGAAAACAACTGACCCAGCTGGGATTCGAACCAGTGACCTTCTTGCTATGAGGACACAGTGTTAACCACTGAGCCACGATGCTGCTCATAAAAATATACAGTTTAACAAAAAAGTGACCATTAGTTCATCCAAAATTAAGATATTAGTTATTAATTCCAGCCCCCTGAGACCTTCAATCATCTATGAAACCTATCTAATCATCTATGACCACACACAACAAAAAACATCTTAAATTATTTATAAAATACATAGTAAAAGTCAAAATAATATTTATTTTATGTCAAAAACCATTATAATATTAAAGATTATTTATTTATTTACTATCTTTATTTTATTTTTTATTATTTTGAATAGTAATATGAATTGCAAATTTGCAGAAATGTTCTCAATATTTAGATTTTTTATTATTTTTTATTTTTTTTATATCTGCACCTCAGCTAAACACTCACTCTATCCTAACAAACATACATCAGTGGAAAGCTTATTTATGTAAAAATATCAATTACAAACTTTGTTAGTCACAAATCAAAAAGCAACAAATTCATCAAAACAGACTGTATGCCAGGGGTGTCCAAACTCAGTCCTGGAGGGCCGGTGTCCAGGAGAGTTGAGCTCCAACCCTAATCAAACACACCTGAAGCAGCTGATCAAGCTCTTAATAGGTATACTCATAACCTTCTGTCAGGCGTGTTGAACCCAGCAGGACACCGGCCCTCCAGGACTGAGTTTGGACACTCCTGCCATATGCCTTAACTGGTTTAGAGGTAATATTATATTGATCATATAATATTTACTTCAAACACAGTAATCCCACGCTGGCATCCAGACTGTGAGAATTCTCAAAGCTTGATAATATTCAGACTGAAACTATTCCCTCGTCATTTTTAATCTCAGTAACTTTCACTTCCACAACATCTTGTCGTCTCTGATTGGTGTTTAATTTCATGATCAACTATTAAATCCACAACAGCAAATCACAACCAGTTCCCTGCCGGCAAAATCAAGTCCTGCCCTACAGTTCTCTCATTAATGAAGCCCTTGCAATCAGATATGCATCAAATATTGGAGAAAAGGCTTCCAGTTCATGCCCTGAAGAGTAATATGGGTGATGTAAAAGTTTGTTTTCAAGTTTTTTGTAAAGGTGCAGTGTGTAAGACTGACACCCAGTGGTTGAAGTGAGTATTGCAGATCAAATTCGAAACACTTTTTCATCACCTGACGTCTCCACACAAACACAGACTGCCAGATTAACACCAACAGGAGTGAGCATGCCTGACTAAAGCCTACCCTGTGTCCTAAATACACACAATGTCATGGGATAAAGTCATATTTTCCACATTGAAGGAGTTTTCTTTTTATTTCCAAACCACCTAAAATATCTATTTTACAATGGTTTCTACTTGTATGTGCATGTGTATACATATTTATGTGTGCATATGTGTGTGTGTGTGCAGGTGGGCAGTGGAGATCTGTCTGCTCTGACTCAGGATCAGTCTCTGCGCTGCCGAAGGAACATCAGATGGACTCAGAGGAGGAGAGCCGGGGCTCTGGGATCCGCTGGCGGGACGGTGCTGACGGCAGAGTGTGTGGACAGCGGGACGCAGACCGACATCAGCTTCAGCTTCCAGCACATGCTGACGACAGGCAGATCCGGACACCACCACAGACCAGCGACACCACCGTCACCACCACTGCCACCAGTGCCCGAGCCATACCTCTTCAGCCAGCTGTACGTCTGCAGCATTTATTTACAGGAGGAGGAAATGTTGTGTTGAGAAGTGTTTATTTCAGTTCATCTTCATTTCTCTAGCGCTTTTACAATGATGAGTGTGTCAAAGCAGCGCAACATAGACGTCTGGTAAACTGTGTCAGTTCAGTTTATAGAGCTGAAGCTCAGTTGGTCTCGCTTTATTCTGATGGTCTGTTAGTTAAATATAAGTTACGCTGCATCTACAGGCCTACTTATTCTCATCAGATTATCAGCAGACTGTAAGGTAGGGGTTTGGGTTAGTGTTGACATGTACTTGCAAAGTTTAACATAGTCAGCTAAATGTGTGTTGAAGGAGCAGAATCAGCAGATATCAAGCAGACAGTCTACTAATACTCAAATGGAGCATCAGAATAAAGTGGTACTGTTCAGTTCAGTTCAGTTCAGTGTGGTTTAATCTTCACTACTGAGAGTCCAAACACTGTAGAGCAAATCCATCCATGCGCAGCTCCACAAGACCCAAACCAAGCACGCCAGTGGCGACAGTATACATACAATCATTTTCAACTGCCTATCTGGGGTCGGGTCACGGGGGCAGCAGTCTTAGCAAAAAACCCAGACTTCCCTCTCCCCAGACACTTCCTCCAGCTCCTCCGGGGGGATCCCGAGGCGTTCCTAGGCCAGCCGAGAGACATAGTCCCTCCAGTGGGACATGCCTGGAACACCTGCCTAGGTAGGCGTCCAGGAGGCATCCGAACAGATGCCTGAGCCCCTGCAGCTGACCTCTCTGGATGTGGAGGAGCAGCGGCTTGACTCTGAGCTCCTCCCGGGTGTCAGAGCTCCTCTATTAGGGTGCACCCTGCCACCCTGTGAAGCAAACTCATTTCGGCCGCTTGTATGCAAGATCTTGTGATTTAAGTCATGTCCCAAAGCTCATGCCCATAGGTGAGAGTAGGAACGTAGACTGACCGGTAAATCGAGAGCTTTGCCTTTCAGCACAGCTCCTTCTTTACCACAACGGACGAGTACATCGACCACATTACTGCTGCCGCTGCACCAATCCGCCTGTCAATCTACTGTTCCATCCTTCCCTCACTCGTGAACAAAACCCCGAGATACTTGAACTCCTCCACTTGAGGTAAGGACTCCCATGAACCCTCGAGCACCCTGGTGAGGGTATAGAGCTGGTCCAGTGTACCACGGCCTGGATGAAACCCGCATTGTTCCTCCTGAATCCTAGGTTCAACCATCAGCCGGATCCTCTCCAGTATCCTGGCATAGACTTTCCCAGGGAGGGCGAGGAGTGTGATCCCCCTATAGTTAGTGCACACTCTCCGGTCCCCCTTCTTAAAAGTGCAACCCAGGCTCATTCTGATCAATGTAGTCCCATGGACATTTCTAGAGACCACGATTTACGTGGTCGGAGGTACGTATGGCTGCATTTCATTTTTTTAAGCAAATACTATGGGGCGGTGTGACGCCGCTCTTTTTCGTGCTTGCCGGCTGACAGCTCACCTCCATGTGGGGCGCTTTCCCTCCGCAACCAGTTTGTCTGGTTAGCTCGACGTGTACGTCGGCGGAGGAGACCCGAAGGAGAGCTGACCACGATGACGGCGACGGCCGAGTTCCAGAAATAAGGTAAGACTAAAACAAAATCCAAAAAATAAAGTGAGCGAGTGAATAACAGGGCGAGAATGTGGTGAAATCTGAAAACGTGGTCAAAATCAGACGAGGGCTTTATTTTTTTTCTGGACTGCTTTTGTAAATCATTGCTTGGGTTTAGGGAAGCAAGCGGTGGGCGGGTCAATCGGTAAAACTGGTTGGGTTTAGGGAAGGAGTAGGAGGAGGGTGGATCGGCTGATTGGCCGGTCACCCAGTCAATCATTCAGTCAGTCGGAAAGACAGTTGCTCGACAGCGGCCTCCGGCGGCTTCACGCGAGAACATAGCAGGTGCAAACAGCGCTCGCGAGAGGCATTCGAGATGTGAAAACAAAAACTGCACAAATCCGTATCTCCCGTACCTCCAGAAACGCCCGTGGGCCTATGTTTCCAGAATGAGCCTGGGTTGTAAAAACGGGAACCACCACTGACCTCCATGCAATATTGCAGACGTGTCAGCCCCGCAACATCCAGAGACGGTATACAGTGCTGTATTATTATTCCGTTATGCAAAGAGAAACACAAAGTACATGACAGAAATAAATACTTGTCAAGAGGGGCGTAATAAGACCACTTCATGGTGCTTTAGTGTTCAGTGTAAGTTTCAGGAATAATATGAATATCTTCCTCTGCTTTCCTCCAGTGTTGTAATCTGTTTTTCTGCTCAGCGCTCCTGTGGATCATGTTTACTACGACCCAACAGACTACTTCGACATCAGCCAGCATGAGGTGGACAGACAGGATGACCTGGAGTACGAGGTCAGCACCGTCCCGTCAGGGCTTGATCACACACAAATAAAAACATGAGATGAGGAGCTCAGGAATGAGTTAAAAAAGCATGCTGTAGCACGATCTATATGATGCAATATTATGAACATGAAGTATAACAGAGCCATTATACATAGGACAACAGTGTTTATAAAACAGTGGAGCCTTTCAGAAGAATGTTTAACGCTCATCTGCGTCTGAAATCCTGGAATTATATCATCTTTGCATTAAAAAGCGAACTCATACATGTGTGAGGTGTGTGTACTGCAGTGTGTGTGTGTGCAGGACAGTAGATCTGACAGTATTGTCTCCTCTGGCTGCCGTTATCAGTCTCACACTGCTGTTTTCCTCTTTCTGAAAGTCTTCATAACACCATGCTGCAGTTTCTGTCATTATTTCAGCCAATAGGAGTGTAGAATTTCACGATAATGTCAAAACCTGTTTGAGCATTATTTAAATGTAAGTGCATACTAATTAAGGCCACTTAATATAAAGTGGGTTGCTGGTTTTCCTTTGGGCCGGAGCATCCTCTTATCTGTGTGTGTGTGTGTGTGTGTGTGTGTGTGTGTGTGTGTGTGTGTGTGTGTGTGTGTGTGTGTCTGTGTGTGTGTGTGTGTGTCCTCCAGGAGGTGGAACTGTATAAATCATGTCAGCAGGATAAGCTGGGCCTGACCGTGTGTTATCGCACTGATGATGAAGAGGATCTGGGCATCTACGTGGGGGAGGTGAGGAAACCTTTACTTATTTTTTATTGTAAAATATTTGCTATTTTTGTGCAAAACTTTGTACAAGAGTAATGCAGAATGATCCTGAGACCATAATAGCTAGAAATACAGGTAAATATATATACACGTTTACTTTATATTTATTTAAGGTTTTCAATGCAAATCCAATAGATCCACTGGTTTGGTAAATAAAGCAGCAAATCTCTCATCAAACTATCTGCACTTTCTATATTCTGCATTCTGTGTGATCCACATTACTGCCACAGGTTTGGTGAACAAAGCAAGTCTCATATAATACTACATCTACTAAAAGACTGAACATATTACTGTTATGCACAGAAATCATGTAAACATATCAGTCAATAATGAAATAAAAGCTGAATGAACATATATGCAGACACATGTGCAGAAGAGAATGGATGGGCAGATGAGTGTGTGGGTCTGCTGATGCATTATGAATGAAGGCTGAGGGAGGACTGTGAACATTACATAAATCACACTTAAATCACACGTCGTGTTGAATCTGAAACAGCGCTTCATCTCATCTGATGACCTCGCTTAAGCATTACAATCACAGCACATTTATCACGGTAAAGCTCAAGTTTTGTGTAAGTTTGTATTATTTTTGTGATAGACCATTTACATTGATAACAAATAACAGCTACAGCCACACTGCGAAATAACTCTTACTGAGAGTTTGTGTCTTGTTTCCCGTCCAAAAATCTACAAACTCCTAAATCAAGAAGCATTTTCTAGAGGAGTAATAAATAAAGTGTTGTTTTCAGGAAAAATGAGTCAGAATGAAGAGAGATTCTGCTTAACACAAGCAGAATAACCTGACTGGAGGAAGCAGAATCATCACATGTCAAAAGGAAAAGCTCGACTAGCTTGCTTCCCCCATTGTCAGATTATTCAGAAACTCTCTTCATTTTGACTCATTATTTCTAAAAACAAGATGATAGGTTGTGCTTATAGAAAATGCTTCTTGATTTAAGAATCTTTAGATATCTGGACAGGGGCGGACTGGCAATCTGGCAATTCTGGCAAATGCCAGAGGGGCCGGACCAATTTTTAAATGTGGGCCGGTCAGTTTTTTATTTTTTTTATTTGTTTTTGTTTTTAAGTGCAGACAGCTTTTATCTCTTGCTAGATGTGATATTATGATGATGATGATAAAAATAATAATAATAATAAATGTTAAGCATTTGGCCCAATCGGCAACTGCCGCCTGGTTTCAAGATGGGCCGACCCAATCCGAGGTTACCCGGACATAATTAAAATCGGGCAAGATTGTCATATTATTTCACCATCTTTACACCAAAATAAATAGTTATTGTGCGTGTCCGTGGGTGGGGTTGTGTCGGTGTGGTAATGTGGGCTGGTGTGGCAACAGTGCCAGGGCTGAATTTTTGTCTCAGTCCGCCCCTGTATCTGGACTAAAACCCAGACTAAGACTGTCAGTAAGAGCAGCAGTGTTGCAGTGTTTTTGTAACAGAAGCATTGCAGTCAAACGTAACACAGCTTCAGCTATAAACTAAACTAGTATCCATTTAAAATGGACTGTGAATGTCTGAGAAATCATATTTCACATTATTGCAGGTCAACCCAAACAGTATCGCAGCTAAAGACGGCCGAATACGAGAGGGAGACCGAATCCTGCAGGTAACACCAGACTAACACAAACACAAGAGCTCAAACATAACCAGCTTCCAGGACCAACACTGATATTAAAGCTCTATTAAAGCACAAAATATTAATTATTATTATTATTATTAATGGTCAAAGTAATAAAAGCAATCATGACTGGAGTAATCATTTCATTTGAAACTACATAAAATAAGTAATAAATATTTAATAAATAAGTTTTAAACATTTTTTTAACATTTAATAAAAGCAGCTTTGATAAACAGAATGAAGTTCTTTAAATTATAAAATAAAATTAATAATAATAATAATAATAAAACACCTCAAACTGACTGGTAGAGTACATTTTTTACCTTGAATTTTTTCTGTTTTAAAAAAAAAGTTATTTAATATTTCTCCCTAACATATTGATTTGGCTATGGCTAATTTTGGACTGTGATCTTCAGTTTTTTGGTAAGTTTTGGAGTTAATAACTGCTGTACACAGTGCATTATAGTGTGCCATTTGGCTTGCAGCGTTACTCTACTTCCTCTACAAAATAGCAGAAAACTGTGCATAAGTGTGTGTGATTTGGGAAACAGCATATGCAGTGTGCACTTAAACCTTCAACAAGACATAAGCCGATGTTACTGTGTGCAGATTAATGGGGTGGACGTTCAGAACCGAGAGGAAGCCGTGGCCATCTTGACCAGAGAGGACAGCACTAACATATCTCTGCTCCTGGCACGGCCAGACATCGAGGTGAGAGTCAGTTTATAATAGACGACACTTTAATACATCTGCATATTGCAGATCATTCATTAATAGAGGAGAGATGGCGACTGCATACTTCACACGCGATGATGAGAAGACTCGCAGTTCATTTGAAAAAGCCTATTTAAGAGCTCGCCTTTACACATCACGTAAATCTAGACAAGGTGGACGGTGATGGGCCACTTTCATATCAGTCAGATCACCGCTTCAGAATCCCGGTAGTTTGATCGGGTATTTTTGCATTAAAAAGTCACAAAAGTAAACAAGCATTTTTATCTTTTCGGCGTGAAAATTGCATTTAAAATATCCTTGTTAATTTGAAGCATCTTTAAGCACTTTTCAACAAAGCAAGCCAGTTTTGCAGATATTCCAAGAGTTGCATTTCGAAAAGCCAAATTCCAGCACTTTAAGCACCTTAATCAATAAATACCAAAATCAGAGAATGTCTCTCTTAAAACAAGCTAAATAACCTGGTTTTCACTTTAAAATAACATTATTGTGGGTTTAGTTTTTGCTGCGGTTTGGAAAATGCTCGATGATTCCTGCAGCTGATAAAGCAACACATTCACACATTACTAGAATAGTCTGCTCATTCCAGCGGCAGCAGACACGTGTGTGCAGTGCACAGGTGAACACACGGCTCTATTCTGCCCTCTGTTTACAAACCAAAGCAGACAGGAGAGGTCAGAGAAGGACAAAAACCCAGACCAGGACATACATGAAAGAGAGAGAGAGAGAGAAAAGAGCGAGGAGAAATGAGGACAGAGCCGGCTCCACAGTCTTTGTTGGACTCAAGGTCATGTTTTAGAGCGAGACACACTTTAGGCCATACTATAACACACACACAAGCTCCAAAACACATCGCTTTCATTCCCGTCAGAGACATCAGCTGTGTTCAGAATGAAATGGTAGAATTATATTTAACATTTGTTTATGCTTATGAAGCACTTTGAGTTTCCTGTTGTGCAGGGAAAGTGCTTTATAAATAAAGGCTCATTCATTTTCCTTTAGCTTAGTCTACTGTTTATCAGGAATCACCACAGTGGAATGAACCGCCAACTATTCCAGCAAATGTTTCACACAGCGGATGCGCTTCCAGCTGCAACACAGTACTGGAAAACACCCATACACACTCATTCACACACACACACACACACACACACACACACACACACACACACTCATAAAGGCCAGTGTAGTTGATCAGTTCCCCTATAGCGCATGTGTTTGGACTGTAACCGGAGCACCCGGAGGAAACCCACACCAACACGGGGAGAACATGCAAACTCAGAAACACCAACTGACCCAGCCGAGACTCAAACCAGAGACCTTCTTACTGTGAGGCCACAATGCTAACCACTGCGCCACCGTGCCGTCCATCGTTTAACTCTAATAAATAGAAATATAAGTGTGCAGGTAACACAATAAGCACACAGTGTCATCCATCATCCTGAAGCTGAAGGTCATCTTGAGCAGGATACAGCAGTCATGCAGAGCTCTCATGTTTGATGAAGCACCACACAGCACAGAGAGCAGGAGAGTGAGTGTGCTGAAGTCAAGAGAAGATGCAGATCATTGTGTTTCAGTTGGAGTCTTCATTGATTGGGGACAAACCCCATCGGCTGCCAACTTGCTTAAACAGCCCTATTCATCATCTTTAGCCCATGTGGAAGCCATAGCAACAGTCCGTATCCCACCGGTGAATATTTAAATAAAACATAATGCAACCCCCCGAAGGAAGAACTAGTTCATGAATACAAATAGACCGAGTCAACATGCGGCGACGTCTGAGGCCTTCACAAACTTCATTTAGCTTGATGCCATTTGACATGAAGCTGCGCGAGCAAATCAGGATCTCGGAAAACACAGCTCATTTGCATATAATAATCACATCAGTGGACGGCAGTGTGCACATGCCAATATGTGTTTAATAAAGCAACTCAATCAACAGTGAGATACATCTGCATATGTACAACGCTTTAATCATATTCTACAGTCAATCATCCTACTTCAGCTTAGTGTCTTATTTATCAGGGGTCACCACAGCGGAATGAACCACCAACTACTCCAGCATATGTTTTAAAAAGCGATACCCTTCCAGCCGCAAACCAATACTGGTAAACACCCACACACACACACACACACTCATACACTATGGCCAGTATAGTTGAGCAGTTCCCCTATAGCACATGTGTTTGGACTGTGGAGGAAACCGGAGCACCCGGAGGAAACCCACACCAACACGGGGAGAACATGCAAACTCCACACAGAAACACCAACTGACCCAACCGAGACTCAAACCAGCGTCTTAAGTGCTGTGAGGCCACAGTGCTAACCACTGCGCCACCATGCCACTCCATATTCAATGTTCATACAGAAATACATCAGATACAGAAGTGTGCCTCATATACAAACCAAATAACACCACATACAGGACTAACAACATCTGAACACTGAAGGGTAATTTTGCAAACTGTCACTGAAACTGTGCTGTTTCAGATTTGGGGTCAGTAGCACACAAGTGTGTGTGTGTGGTGGTGTGTTTTAGGGAAGGTCCAGATGGTGTGTGGGCCCGTGGGCCCGTGTATTCCCCAGCACAGGTGGTGGCTCATTTGGAGGAACCTCAGGTTTGATTGTCTAGAACAACAGATGGGAAAGACCTGAAGTCAGTCAGAGTAGCAGAGCTTGAGCTTAGTGAGATGCACACTGCCCTCTGCTGCTCACCACGGGACATCTGAGGTCCTGCATGTTTCTTTTTGCTGTTGATTATTCAGATATTAGCTCCTTTGCACTCAATTGAGTGTCTCCCCTGTGATTACGTTGGTGCTTTGTTGGCCCAATGACTTCCATTAGAATCACATTTATTGATTGCAAAGCCATGGTACAAACGTGTAACTAAAAGGTCCATATTTAATACCTCATGGGTACGTATTAGTACCTAAAAATTACAAATATGTACATCTTGAAAATTTTAGGTACTAATATACTCCTTTCAGGTACCAATATGGACCCTTTAAGTAGAAATGTGTAGCTTTTGAGAAGGTACCACCCCAGTGACAGCTCGCGTAGCTTTATTTCTGAGACTGTATGATTGTGGATCTGCTCCCTGTTAAACAGAAATTAAGGACAAATCTATACAGGAGGGTGAAGATCTCTTCAGTTGTGCAGAACAGCCCTGTAAAGACAGAAGTACAGTGATTCTGCAAGTGTCTTGAAATGGTTTGCCTAATTTATATGTTCTCTTTCTTCTACAACTCAAACAGAATGAGGCTGATGATCTGGATCTAGAGTTGGGCATGGGCCTGGATCTGGAGGACTTGGAGAACGCCTCAAACGTGCCCAGCCCACACCACCGCAGCAAAGCCAGCTCCCTGCTGAGTGACGTCAGCGGGATTCGAGCTAATCGGCCGAATTTGTGGCACACGGCCCTCAATAACAGCCAGGAGCTGGACAGCGGTGTGGGCCGCACGGATGAGAGCACACGCTGCGAAGAGTCCTCAGAACTGGCTGAAGATGCCACCAGTGCATGCACCACCAACGCCACCAACACGCCGGGCAGCCTGCGCAAGTTTAAAGCGGCTCAGCATGGGTTTGAGTTCCACTACAGCAATGACTCTTTACTGGGACCAGATGGGGTGGACCACGGAGCTCCTGAATCACTGGGAGCAAGCAAAGTGCCGGGGTTAACCGAAGAAGAATACGAACGCTACCGAGAGCTTCTGGAGATCCGCTGCCTTTACGAGAAGAACGGAAACGCACTTCTGTATTTGGATGGAAGAAACCAGTGTGACTTTGCAGGGGGAAGCATCCCTGTCGATATGAACTGCAACGAGAGTTTGATGCAGCACGAAATCGCTCTTCTGGATGAGGAAATACGACATCTGGAGTTTAAATGGCGCAATGTCTTGCGCGCACAGAAGATGCAGCAGTTGCGCCAACGCTGCTTAAAGGTCTGGCCTGCTGATGAAGAGGACGATGAAGACAAAGGAGCAAAGGCAAGATGTGGAGGCGCAGAATCAATCCACCATGACCTCTCGGATATCAACGAGATCCCAGAAAGGGAGCGTTCTGATAAGGAAAGCACAAGCGCATATAACACTGGAGGGGAGAGCTGTAGGAGCACACCTCTGGCTAGCGAACGAAACCCTTCGCTGTCCGCAGCTGGAGACTCCAGTGCCTCTGCAACCATGCGGCCTCGGACGCCACGTCACAAAACAAGGGAAAGGAATCCAAACTCTGCAGACGTCAAGAAAAAGAGCGAAGAATTGGGGGACGTCAAAAATCCAGCAGCAAGGGTTAGGAACGGCGGCGGTAGGAAGGGTTTGGATGGACCGCGAAGGGGATCCCACACTAATGGAGCTAGTGGGGTAGTAAAAGGGGGACGGAGTGCTGAAAACAGCCCATATCTGTCCCGCCGGCACTGCAGCACCACACTGCCTCAACGCTACCAGAGCTGCATGCAACTGAGAGATGTGACCATCAATGACGGGAATACTGAAGAAGATCCTGCTCACTCCAGCACGACACCTACTGCTAATAAAGACACCACTGCTACTGCCGTGAATATCCCACCTCCATCTTCACCTAGGATGGAGTGGAAGGTGAAGATCCGCAGCGATGGCTCAAGGTACGTGGCTAAACGCCCTGTAAGAGATCGTCTGCTGAAGGCTCGTGCCATGAAGATTCGTGAGGAGCGCAGCGGGATGACCACAGACGATGACGCGGTGAGCGAAATGAAAATGGGGAGATATTGGAGCAAAGAGGAGCGCAAGCAGCAGCTGCTGAGAGCCCGGGAACATCGGAGACGGCGGGAGTTCATGATGCAGAGTCGACTGGACTTCTTGAGGGAGAAAGAAAAGGAGCAAGACTCCGGACCACAGGCTTCCATACTGGAGCTGAGCCAGAAGAAGAGCATGAAGAAGCGCAGCCGACGCATCCTGGACAACTGGATCACCATTCAGGAGCTGCTGGCTCATGGATCCAGCTCTGTGGATGGGAAGAAAGTCTACAACCCGTTGCTCTCCGTGACCACTGTCTGATCGACAGCCAGACTCTAATGAAGTAAGAGTGGAGATGACTGCAAAGTTTAGCCAAGTCTGATGAAGATGCCTAGAGGAATACTCCAGAAACATTGATGGTGGATATAAACATGGCAAACACAGGGCCGAATGCAGAATGAATGTACCTGTTTTCATAATCTGTTTGTAAAAATGGCTTTAATGCTTGAGTTTGAGTCACACTCGAGACTGTTACAATCCAGCGCTGAGGATCTGGAGCATCTCACTGGATCAAAACATTCATTCACAAAGACTTGTCAGATGAATGAAGCGGTGGGCTAGTTTAGTCCTGGAGATCCAGACTTTAGGTTGACACACACAAAAAGCTTAATAAGGAGTAAAACCAGAGTGTGAATTACAGGAGGGTTTGGGGGATCGATCCTCTGATTAATGCTTGATTCCCCTTTAAACGACGTCAAACAAGATGCATGCAGGGTCAGCCGAGTGAGAAATCTGATCTGATCTGTTTCTTAATAATGGAAATAATAATGGCGGCACGGTGGCGCAGTGGTTACACTGTGGCCTCACAGCATGAAGGTCGCTGGTTTGAGTCTCGGCTGGGTCAGTTGGTGTTTCTGTGTAGAGTTTGCATGTTCTCCCCGTGTTGGTGTGGGTTTCCTCCGGGTGCTCCAGTTTCCCCCACAGTCCAAACACATGCGCTATAGGGGAACTGATCAACTACACTGGCCGTAGTGTATGAGTGTGTGTGTGTGTGAGTGTGTATGGGGGTTTCCCAGTACTGGGTTGCAGTTGGAAGGGCATCCGATGTGTAAAACATATACTGGAATAGTTGGCAGTTCATTCCGCTGTGGCGACCACTATTAAATAAAGGGATTAAGCTGAAGGAAAATTAATAAACAAATAGAAATTCACTAATTTATTCATTTTCGCCACAGCGGAATGAACCGCCAACTTATCCAGCATATGGTTAGCTGCAACCCATCTCTGGGAAAACCCATACACACTCATTCACACACACTCATACACTACAGACAATTTAGCCCACCCAATTCCCCTGTACCACATGGGTTTGGACTGTGGGGGTAACCGGAGCACCTGGAGGAAACTCTCGCGAATGCAGGGAGAACATGCAAACTCCACACGGAAACACCAACTGACCCAGGCTCGAACCAGTGACCTTCTTGCTGTGAGGCGACAGCACTACCTACTGCGCCACTGTTTCGCCCCCAAACAGAAATAATAGATAACAGATATACATGTGACCTCCCCTGTAACGGTTCATACCCTTGAGTGCATAATCATGCCAATCAGTCAACATGAGAGAAAAATCCTTCATTAGTCTGAAACTGGCAGCACTGATTAACACCGCAAGTCTTCACTTGTTTATTCCTACATTGAGCCTACAAGCAGTCCAATTAGAAGCAAAGTTTGACCTACAGAAACCTCTGAAACAGCTAATCAGAGGCTAATATAAGTCAGAACACACTGAATATCCCACAAAACACTTCAACATGTTTTATTAATAAATGAGATTTAAATGAAATAAACGCATCAGTTTGATTCACTGAAGCATGTACGACTCAAGCTAACAGTACTGAAGGAGGTGATCTTCACACCCTGAGCATCCTCTCCGGGACCAAACGTGATCACCCCTGATCAAAGACGTGTTAATGATCAGGAAATAAAGCACACCGAGCAATCAACATTCTGTTGTATAAACCGGTTTCTTATAGTCCTTTCACTCCACCGCTCTGCATATTCACACCACTCCTATTATTAGTTCAAGAGTTCACGCTAAGATCTTGCAGGTTCTGCATGCTTATCTGGGAGAGAACCTTGAGCTCTGAGATAACTGAGCCCAGGTCTCTCCAGGTCAATAAGCATATAAGGGGGTCCGAGAGCAGGCAGGTGCCGACAGCTCCCCCTGGTAAAGGAGGAAAGAGGGAGATGGGCTGAAAGCGGGGATTCTTCCAGAAAGAAGATAAGGTAGTCGGGTGAAATCGCTCTATTTACTGTAGGCTTGAATCAATCTGATCACAAAATGTGTTGGTAAACCTTCACTCAACAGGTATTCATCACACTTGATCACATCCAAAGATTTAAGTTGAGTCAAAATAACATTACGAGTTACTTCAACTCACAGCAATTAAATGTAGAACTAATTTGCATAAATGAAAATAAGCTTGAACCCTGATTACCATATATTAAGCAAGTTATTATGATTAGAAAATACACAGGAGGTCTTCAACTGTGTGCTGTCGTTGATTTCTGATCCTATCATTGTTTCTTCCAGTGCAGTATCATGATGACTGTTAGTGCAGATGACTGATGTTAATCTGGTGAATCTGCTGAATCTGCTGCTGTTGTTTTGGCTTCATATGTCATTACGTGTGTCTTAATAACCTAATATGATCATCTACACTGATCAAATGAAGAAGTCAGCAGAAGAGAAAACAGATGAAAAGCCATCACTTTAACAGCTGAGCTGATTTCACAACTGTACAAGCACATGAACCATTGAACAAACAAGCACAGTAAAACAAGATTTCAGCACACAGATATAGGCACAAGCAACGGAAATGCCGGTTTTCTAACGCAGACATGCTCTGAAATCTATGATTTGACTGTATATTTTTGGTGGTACATTTGTCAGTGCTCAAGGAAAGAAAAGAAGAGGAGATTACCGCTCTTTAAAATAATACTTCAGCTTGCATAATCTGATCTGAAAGCGTCTCTTTGATATTGTAAACTGCATGTTGGTCTGGGAAATGTTTCAGTTCTGTTGTGTGAGTTGTTACTGTGTCTGTGGTAAAACTGAACATTATCAGGACATTAATATATCGTGCACATCTGCTCCTCCTGCAGCTCTTACATAAGGAGATTTCTCATACTTCAATGTTTTTAATTAAAACTTTTGCAACTTGTAGTTTGAGTTTCAATCATTATTCCAATCATTATCATTACTTTACACCAGGGGTGTCAAACTCAATTCCTGGAGGTTTAGCTCCAACCCTGCTCCAACACACTTACCTGTAGGTTTCAAACAAGCCTGAAGGACCCAATTAGTTTGATCAGGTGTGTTTAATTAGGGTTGGAACTAAACTGTGCAGAGCTGCGGCCCTCCAGGAACTGAGTTTGACACCTGTGCTGAGCGCACTGTAGAACATCTGAAATGTTGATTTGCTCATTCTAAAATGCCTGAACTGTTTCAGTATAAGTGTTATTATATGATTAATGAATCACTCTGCACTCCAGGTCTCATGTCTTCAAACACCACCGTGCGTTCACTGTGTGTCAGGATTGCCTTCTGGTGCACAAGTCATTTATTAAATGAAGAGAAGATTCACGCAGCCTCTCCGACTGCAGCAAATTCAGTTTTTACTGTTGAGATTTGGCGCCAGATAGTCAGGAAGTGACGTGTTTGTTCTGTTTGACTGGTTGGATGGAAATGCAGCTTTATTCGCACGTCTTTCATGCGATATTCCAGGTTTTTGATGGAAACATAGCTAGTAACAAAGATTTACCCATCTGCTGAGATTTCAGCAAAATTGACCAAAGATGGTGAACGAAATCTTGTTACCACACCTGAGTAAAGGGGAAGGAAAGTTCAGGAAGGTCTATCCTGGGCCTTTTTCTTCAGATTCCAGAGTTTTTGTCGTTTTATTACAGAGAATATTTAAGTCTGAGTACAATCCATGCCTACAGCAGGTTTCTGTAGCGCAACCCAGACAATACAGCACGGCAGACTATTACACATGTACAGAAAACACTCCTTATACAACTCATCAAGCTTTGTAAACTGCTGGAAGAAAGATCAAGCTCCCATAATGACATTCATATGAATAAATGAGGGGAAAAAGGGACAACTCGGTTGTTTTATGTTTAATCCACTTAAATTAGTCAAAACGGTTAACTTAAAAGGATTTGTGTCGGGAGCCCAGCATTTACACCTGCTTCCAATGTTATCACTGGATTGAATGGGCGTTATCAGTGGTTATCAGCTGATAGATATGGGCAAGTAGGGGCCTTCTGAGCATACTAGTAGGCTGAGAAGGCTGTTATCATCTATCCAGATGGTTAATCAGCTATTACTAGAGAAGACTCCAGATCTGTTTACTGTGATGTTGGGTTTATGGTTGGGGTAGATGTTAATCAAATTAATTGGAAATTTAATAAATAATTTGAATAATTTTTGTTCTGACCGCAGCCATATGTGATCGATAGCTGATTGACCATGTGGATGGATGATAACAGCCTTCTCAGCCTACTAGTAGGTGCTGTATCTGGCCCATATCCATCAGCTAAAAACATCCGAATCGGCTGGCATTTATTACAGTCATGGAAAATAATACAAGAATTTATTTCAAATCAACCTTCAAAGTATTTGCATTAAGAGCGAATAAAAGACGACAGGACGCCGGCTGCCACCTCTTCATTTATTGGATGTACAATTATGAAAAATAATAATCATAAAAAAGACTGGAAGCCCAAGATTATTTACAATCGTCCTCTTTGATTCTGTGTCTCTCAGAGATACCGTCGTCAGTCTCGCATCATGATATGTTGAGCTTTAAACAGACGTTCCTCTCTAGATGTGACGACAACAGGACCAAAAAGCAAACCAAATACAGTACATACATACACATATACAGAGAGAACGAGAGATCTATAAAAGCAGAATCATTCAAGTATCAAAAGACAGACCACCAGGATTACTTTACACTTCCTTACTGTTGATATTTTCATCATCTAGCCATGATCCACACGTGTATTCGCTAACGTGATTATTGTGCAAACACTGCGGATGTTACAGGTGCTAGCATTAGCATCTGCTTGTATTTAGCACTGTAGCCGTTATTAATGTACCATGTTTAAAAAACAAATCAAGAGAAATCATTCAAATAAAAAGTACCAGACTTAAAATCTGTGTAAACTAGGGCTAACCGTACTGTATACAGGAACATTTCCCATCTACACCTCATTATTATGCAGTAATATCTACACAGAACGAAACAAAAGGCAGGCTTGTCCATGACATACAGCTATGCAAACTCTAATTCTGGACCTTATATACTGTATATTTATCTAGACAAACCCTGCTTTCTGCAACGCAATCATTAAGACAAACAGCTCCCATAAGAAACTCGACATGTATTAAAAATAAAGCAACAACTCGCCGTTGTTTGTAGTGTCACATTAACCCATGGTTGTGTGTTAGAAATCACAGTATACGTGTATCAGTCACTACAAGAAGCAAGATCTGGACTGTACCATTCTCACTGATTATAATAGTGTACCGTAAGACATCACAACACCTAATATATCTCCCATGACAGTGTCTGTCCCCAAAGATTTCCTCTTTAAATGATCACACCACAGCTAACAATGCTTGAAATGTCTAGCCCATACTGTAAGAACATCTGTACTCCACCCGGACTGACTAGAAATACTGACAGTAAAATCCAGTATCTCAATGTGTGGATGGACTGTTGTTAAAGGAAAACCCCTTTGCATTTTACAGCTCTGCTAGAGTTCAGGAGTGGAGTTTCAACATTTTTATACATTCAGCTGATCCTGGGGTTTAGTGTGAGCATTTTTAGCT